ATGTAAATACATTGACGTTGTCAATATCTTGGTTTTTCATACATTGCATTGTTCATATTCGGCCGAACAGTGAAATGTGTTTAATAAATAAACTTACATTAAAGTTCATACTCACTTGTGTTGAGTAATTATGATAACAGCATTAAGTTATATCCACATATATCTGGCATGTCTTGATGTGTCTTTATGATGTTGAATTATGTTCATTTTATTAGCCAACTTGTCAAACTTTTAAAATATAGTATGGTATTACACTACCCCTATTTTGAACAAGAAAAGGAATACAACGAACTGTATTTTGTTAACCCATTGATTCTAAAAACTTTGGATTTTCTGTTTATACATCTTATACATCTTAGGACCCTACTCTATTTCCATTTGATCACAGAGGTGAAGTCCTTAGTTGGAGCTCTTCCTACATCTAACTTTTTCTGTTTTTTTGGTAAGTTCCTTCATTTCTTTCTATCTGTCTATTAAGAAATGTGGGTGCCTATTTAAAGTTAAAATATTCACTCTTTCCTGCATCCAGCCTCTCTTTGGACAAAGCACAAAAGGCTCATTGATGATGGTTTACACAGGAACACACACAGGTGTGTTTCCATGACTTCAGAGGACAGTGTACTGACTTTCATTTCCTAAAGAATTACCACAACTCTAAGCACTGATTGCCTAAACAAGTCTTCCCTCTAAAACGTACTCCCTTTTTCTCACCATATTAGAACTGAACCCCACAAAGTGACCTTGACAGCAGACGGATTTCATCACAGCATAGTACAATTGGGCTCACGCATACACAGACACACAAACACACTGACTGACCGTCTGGACAGATGAGAGTCATGCTACAGATTTCTGAGGGATAGCAGGCTGCGTAAACCCCGGCTACATTTCCCCCCATGCCGGTTCCAACCAGATGGAACTGTTTCCTGTTTAAGTGGATGGTTTCCACAAACTGAGAAGAACAAAAGACAAAAACAGAGTTTTACTGGAATGATTTAGGCACCTGACAAATACACCAACATATTTTAAAAACTATCTATTGGGTGTACCTGATGGATTCTTTTGACCTGCCCCTGAATGGAATAATCATCTATGTTGGTGCGTGTTGTCCCCTCATGGCCAGGCATGTCCACACACAAAATGTGCAGATGTTTTGGCAGATACTGGAGCAGCAGAAGACAAAAAAGAACGCTTAATGTCATTAATATGATAAATGCATTCAAGCCAAGAAAGGGTGTTTTAAGAAGAATTTCATAAACAGCACAATATGTATTTATGAAATCATTTCTAATTAATGTTTAAATTAAAATAAATTCCAGTCTTTCTCTTGGATCATGTGACTGATGGAGCATAACTCCACTGGATAGATGTCTGACTAAAAGCATACATTCAGCATTTCTTTGACAAAAGCTAGTTTTAAGCTGAGTGTTAGCCCCATGAGCTATTGGGAAGTAAAATGCGATGTCTAGTGTCAGTCGAACCTTGACAACAGTGAGCCATGTGTCTTTGTGAGCAGAGAAGCCATGCAGCATTAAGATCGAAGGTCTCATTCCAGGCTTTCCTCTGTAGGAGTAACAAAAGCGATAACCACCACAATCCGCATAGCCCACCTGCAGGCCCAGAGTCCCCCTCCAGTACCTGAAGACAAGCAGGTACCATATATGAGCTACAAAGACTTACATGCAAATTCAAATCTGGGCTTTCTTCGCTGAAATGCTTTAAAGGATTAATGATGAGGCAGATTCTTTTTCTTGGATAGTCACAGCAACTAAGACACAATAAATATCATTAAACAAAGTATGCTAGGTAACTAATGCCACAGTTTTCAACAATGTCATTGATAAATGAATATAATCCTTAGAGCACCTTTCCAAATTAGAAATCACAAGGCGCATGACAAGAAAGGGCAAAGAAAATCCAGGTACAGTATACAATATGTACATACACCACTTTGTTAGGCACACTTGTAAAACTGCTTATTAACACAAATATGTAATCAGCCATCACAGGGTGAGATGCGAAAGCTCAAACCGTACATCAGAATGGAGCAGAACGGTGATTAAGTGACTTTGAGAGAATGGTCAGAAAGAGAAACTATCCAATGAGCAGCATTTGTCTGGGTGGAAATGTCCTGTTGATGCCAGAGGAGAATGGCCAGACAGCTTTGAACTAATAGGAAGGCAGAAAAAAAACAACCCTAAAATAACCACTTGTTTCAACCAGAGTATCTTTGAACATTCAACAGGCCAAACCTTGAAACAAATGGGCAACAGCAGCAGAAGATCCCATTGAGTGCCATTTCTGTCAGCTAAGGACAGAAAAATCACAAAAGCTCGCCAAAACTGGACAATAGAAAATTGCCCACTTTGATGAGTCTCCATTTCTGATGTGACATTCAGACTGTATGGTCAGAATTTGGCATAAACAAGATGAAAGCATGGATCCATCCTGCCTTGTACTAATAGTTCAGGCTGCTAGTTGTGCAGTGGTGTGGGGAATATTTTCTTGGCACACTTGGTACCAGTTGAGCATTGTTCAAAATATTGCTACCTATCTGAGTGTGTGGCCATGACTATCCCTTTATGGCCACAGTGTGCTCATCTTCTTATAGCTTCAATATAACGCACCATGTCACTAAGCTCGAATCAGGCTCCAATTACAATGAGATCACTATACTCAAATGACTCAGTCCCCACATCCCAGTCCAATAGAGCCCCAGTGAGTGGGGTAATGGAAGCCAGCAAATCTGCTGTAACTATGTGATGCCATCATGTCAATATGGACCAAAATCTTTCAAGGATGTTTCCAGCATCATGTTAAATCTATGCCACAAAGAATCAAGGCAGTTCTAAAGGCAAAAAGGGGGTCCAGCCCAGTACTTGCAAGGTGTACCTAACAAAGTGGCTGTTGAGTGTAAATCAGAGATTCAATCAGATAGAAACATCATTAATGTGATTAAACCTCAAACCTCAAACATTCTGACAGAAACATAAAAATATATCATAGAATTGTATAAAATATAAATTGAAGTACAGCACAAGAAACCCATCTACATTACCAGTAATACACTTTAATTAATGCAGAGGGCCAGAGAAGAAAGGAAGCCAGAAAGGCCAGGATGGGAATAGCCAGTGTTCCTCCAGCAATAATACACAGGTTCACCACATCCAGATCAGCTGCCATGGCTCAACTGAAAATAAATGAACACAAACTCACGCATTGTCCTTCTGGGGAGAAATCTGTTAGATAAATTCCACATAATTTCCATATTTAGTTAAGACTATAAATAAAGGGGTGTCTTTAGGATGTGCATGTGCACAAAATAACATGATACAAGCTGTAAAATAACTAAAGCGCGCTTCTATAACAAAACACACATGCTAAAAAAACTGTAAAAACTTACCTTTGAGATGATTTTCCCCTCCTTCTTTCTTCTATCTCAGGCGGGAGCATCAAAAGTGATTTTGTTAAATAGCTGCACAGCACGCACACTCTATGACATTTATTTCTGCTATTTTTATGTGCAGAAAGTATCAGTGGTTAATTAATATTTCTCAAATGAAAAGCGCCTGTTGCAGAGGGCAGTTATTCGTTTCAGATTATGCCTGCTCTGGATAAACTCATTGATTCTCATCGTCGGGGTAAAATAGGCCACTCCATCATTTGGTCGATCATTTAAAGTGAACACACAGGCCAAGCTTTGTGCAGACAAGATAAATTGGGGTTCTGAATCAGACTTTAAACACTGAAAAAATGATATTTTAGTGTGTATGACAGACCTGTCTTACTTCCATCTGGGACGAATTCCAGAAATAAATGTGCACTTTCATAAAAGGTGCCTCGTTTGGTCAGATGCAGTGGCACTCACTATTTTCTACTGACACGGTTAGTCTGAGAGTGGAGGCTGAGGAAGGCCAGTCCAAACAGCCACATCAAATTACAAGCTGAAGCTTAAGGCTAAAACTGACCACTGGGTGTCATTATAGAGGCAGACTGTTTCCTGCAGTGTGTGGTAAAGTTTCAAGGGTCCTTTGCACAGATCACTGGGCGTCGTGAGGACCTAACTTTAAGATGTCGTCAATTCCAGTTCAGTGGGGAGAGAGGCTTTTAGGGAATTGGATACAGATTTCTTTTGCAGATGTGAGCGACAGAATTTCACATCTTCGCAGACATGCTGCCCTACTGCATTGATGTTGACTCATCAGACTTCCCCCAGTGCTGTGTACATTTCTATATTTATTTTTCTATATTTATCCAATGCATAGAGATGTGGCAAAAATATATACAGATCAAAACATGAAGCAGAAAAATAAATCATAACCCTAAAAATTAAAACTACATTTCCCAAATATTTTCAACTAGATTAAATCTGCTCAACTAATAAAAGCAATAACTTTGCAAAGTAACACTGGGTGTGATTCTGGTTTAGAATTAATCAGCAGTGTTTTTCTGTTTATCACCTTGTGTGCATCAGTTCAGTCAGAGTCTAAAGGTCTGTGAAGCACACAGTACTGACAACTGTTAAATAAACAGCCGATAACTGCTGTTGGAAAAGTGACGTTCAGCTTCAGAGATCTGCTAAAAATGCCCGAGCTGTTCATTATGCTGTGATTTTAGTAAACTGGTTTAATCATTGTGGTTATTCACAAACTATGTCAAAATTTAAACTGAACCCAATACAAAACAAGGATTACAGAGTAAAAAGGCTGAAGTTCACAGCTGCCACTCTGCTGCATCTCTGGTCCACTACAGATGACCTACATGCAAAGTAGAGCAGAACAAATGGACACGGCAATGCCGCAGAGGGGCTCGCCTTGCATGGGAATGATTCTCATATTTGAGTGTATATAGGACGGAGGGGATGCTCCCAGTCTGCTCGCTTTGACTACATCACGTTAGCCGTCGTATTCCTGAGAGGAATACTTGGTGGAGCAAAGCTGGCAGAACAAAAAAAAAGAGAAGCAATGTAGCGACACAAAAACGTGTCATGATGACACATTCACACAGGTCAGCTGTTTTGCTGGGAGCAACGACCTCATTGTGAAATTTTAATTTGCCAATAGAATCGTGTTGAGAAACACTCGGCCTCATCCTTTACAGAGTAACTGTGAGTGTTTGGGGTGCTTTAAGGGAGTAACTGCAGTGAGTGTTTGTCTCCCAGCAGAAAGACAACCACACAGGCATGGATCGATTAGTGAAGGAGCTTAAAAGACCAAGAATCCCTTCATTAGAGCCTCAGTTTAGAAGTGATCAGTAACATTTCTTCATGGAAAATAAACAACTACTAGAAATTGTAAAATTATTCATTGCAAGAAAATAACTAATGGGGTTGTCTGACTATTTTAGAAGAGTATCTTTTGCGTACATTTTCTGCTTGTATGGTTTTGTGTCACGCTTCCATGATACAATTCAATAAAGTTGGAGGGAAAAAAAAAAAGAAAATGTCAAAATCAAAGCAGCAGAGACTTCAAGGTCTGTACTCTGATGCTGAGAGTCCATCTGGTCACAATTTCTGGAACAGTTTGTTTGTGGTGGCAACCTTGTTTAACCCTGATGTGCTCCCACTTTGCATTCTAGGATGTGGAGGAATTAAACTCAAGAGAATCAATGGTCTCACCTGGACTAGCATCACACCTTCATTTGAGCCTTCTGTGTTTATCCTTTCTATGATAGACACATCTGACTAAAGAGCAGAGTGAAGGTTCTCCCGTGTTTTTTATACATGCACTTTGGCTTACATTTTCCCCTCCCTCCCTCAAAGGAAATGAAACTGATGAGAAATACAACAGCTTCCCCAACTCTGCAGCTGATTCATATCACAGCAAACTGACTATATGTTTGGAAATGCCCTTAGCCGTAAAGGATTAACCCTTTAAATACAGTTTATGACACAACCTGTGTTGCAGCTATGTAGTGTTCAGTTGAAGCAGAGATAATCCTGTTGACATCACCAGGTATATTTTGTCAAAAAGTGGCGAATAAGCTGAAACTCTAATTTAAAAGAAAAACAAACAAACAGAAACAAAAATGTTTTTCAAAAAAAGAAGTGAAAAAAGTGAAATCTATTAGCTCTGGGAGAATCAGGCGTAGTTTGTCCTGTTTTCCAGGATTGTCTAATCCATTTAATTCTATGATCATGACAGCCTATACAATGCAGGACTAGTTATGAATGAGATGACCTATGTACAAGGATTTTTGTCTTAATTCCCACATTGATACCAGCTTTTGCTTTGCTTGTTGAAAAACAGGATGAGGTTCAAGCTGATCAGTCTCGTTTGCCACTCTACGCCTCTATGCAAATAGAAGGTAAATTGCAGGCCGATGCCTGTCTACATGTTGACTTTACAACAGCGCATGCTTTTCAGGTGATACACACCTTTTACCTAACAAAACATTACTCTCAGCATTAACCATTTTCTTTAAATGTCAACTGCAACACATAGTGTGATAGAAAAGGGAGGGAAAAACAGCAGATATGAGACCAAACTTAACCCCTCCTGGATGACATGAGCGATATCAATGAAATGCTACAGAGAAGATATGACCTCTGGCAATTTGTCTACATGAAGATAATGGATGAATGACCGGATGGATGAAGATAATGGTTATTTAGGAGAAACAGAAGCCACCCTCTACTGTCTTCAGAATGAATTCCCTGTTGCATAGATTCAACAAGGTTCTGAAAATATTAGTCAGAGATTATGGTCCATATTTGAGTACAAAATTGAGTACAGTGAACTCATCGCAATGTTCAAGAAACAAGTTTGACATGATCTGAGCTTTGTGACATGGCATGTTACCTTGCTACAGGCAACCATCAGAAGATGGGTACAGTGTGGTAATAAAGTGGTGGCCAACAACAATATTCAGGTAGACTGTGTAGTTTAAATAATGAGCTATTACACCACTACCACCAATCTCAACTACTTGTACAAGACACGGTGGATCGATGCTTTCATCTCTGTCCATCCATCCATTCACGTTAGTTATGCCAATTCTGACCTCATGTCTGAATAGACTTCTTCCAATTTTCTTCTGTTCAGTTTTGATGGACCCATGTGGACAGTCTCGGTCGTTGTGTCCTTGGGCAAAACACTTCACCCGTTGCCTACTGGTGGTTGTCAGAGGGCCCAGTGGCGCCAGTGTCCAGCAGCCTCGCCTCTGGCTGTGGCTACAATGTAGCTTGCCATCACCAGTGTGTGAATGGGTGGATGACTGGATGTGTAAAGCGCTTTGGGGTCCTTAGGGACTAGTAAAGCGCTATACAAACACAGGCCATTTACCATTTTTTTTTTTACCATGTTGTATATTCAAAGATGTTCTTCTGCATACCTTAGATGTAACAGCTGGTTGCCCTCTTACCCTCTGACTTCAACAAGGCATTTTCTCTGCAGCTCATCTTGTGCCCATTCATATGCTTGGTTTGAAATTGAGCGTGTAATCTTAACTATGCCTACTTGCCTAAACACACTGAGTTGCTGCCACATGATTGGCTAATGATATAACTGTGTTAGCGAGCAGGTGAACAGCTGTGCCTAATGAAATGACTCTATGTGTTTAATTATACATTTTAGGTTTCCCCATGCATACAATAATTTTAGCAACCCTGCCCCTTACGTTAATTTAGCAATCATGATCATAAAACTGAAATGAAAAGTTAAACAAAACAAACAAAAACAGAAAAAAGCAAAGCAGAAACTAAATACAGATAAGTACAACTGCAGTCTGGACAACGGCCACATAAATGAAGAAAATGGATCTAAATGTATGTTTCTGCAATTTTCTTTAATGGTTCTCTGTTGAGAAAAAACAAACAAGATAAACTCCTACTCAGCTCAATACTGTCTGAAACGCTATCTATTTTCACATAGATAACAGTTACACCAACTGATCTCTTTGCAATTCCCATCACTAATGCAGTTACCCATCTATGGCTTTCATTACACACTCCATTAGGGGGTGTTATTGTGACAATCTCCATTATTATGACAATTACATAGAAGTGCTACATTTAGAGCTCGAGTGATCCACCTAAAACATTATCATAAATACTAATAATTAGTTGAGTTTGTGGCATATTTATTTATTTTTTACATTCATCCATATTCCCAATCAAAATTGTAAACTTGACTAGACTTCCTGTAAATAACGGACGTACAAACTTACTTTGCACACAAAAATCACATTCTTTTATTAACTTCTCTGCCATCTAAAATAGAGCATCTTAAAAATTAAACAGTTAAATATGAGCCCTCCGAGTTAATAGTGCAGATATGATAAGGAGGGCAAGTTCTGACACCTGAAGACAAATATGGATTCCCTTGTGTGTGTGCGTGGGTGGGTGGGTGCGTGTGTATGCATGAATGAGTCGCCCTCAGGTCCTGAAGAGCACGGCAGCAGTCACAGCTGTCAGAGCCACAGCAACCACAGGCCCCCAGATCATCCACAGTTTCTGGAATAAGTGGCAACACAGAAATAGAAAGTTGAGCAACAGCGAATAAACATGCACCCATTTTGGATCACCAAAGCTTTGACAGAGGGAGCCA